TAAAGAAGTTTGTTACCTGGGCTGTGGGTTGCTATGGTCATATCAAACCCACAAGGTAAGTTGAGGTAAATGGTCACTGTGGAACATGCATTTCAGTCCTAACCACTTCACCTTGAGTAAACCATGTTCATAGTGCAACAGAGCTTCATGGGTACAGGCTCAGTGAACTGGTTCCAGCTGGCAGTGGTTGTTGGGCTGCTCATTGATGATGACTTTCCTTCTCTTCCAGGGTTGGTACATTGTGACCTATGCCTTGGGAATTTACCACCTAAACCTTTTCATAGCGTTCCTTTCTCCCAAAGTGGATCCTTCCTTGATGGAAGACTCAGGTACAGCAGGGGCCATTGGGGTGTTAGTCCAGGTTGCTCTATGCCTCTACTTTCTTGGGATAGTCCATGGGTCAGGGATCACTTGGACCTGGTTTGTCATATTTGTATGTGCTTGCAGTGTCTGGATCAGGATGAATTTGTCTATAGGATTACTCGTTAAACCCTGTGCGGCTGTGAAAAGGTTCTTTTTTTTTTTTTTTTAAGGTTTTCTAGACAGGGTTTCTCTGTGTAGCTTTGCGCCTTTCCTGGAACTCACTTGGTAGCCCAGGCTGGCCTTGAATTCACAGAGATCCGCCTGGCTCTGCCTCCCAAGTGCTGAAATTAAAGGTGTGCGCCCCCACCGCCCGACTAAAGGTTCATTCTTGATCCCCGTTTTGCTTAGGAGGAAACAGAAGGCCTGGGTTCAGTAACACATCCAGAGTCACACTGCAAACATGGGACATGTGAGCAGGGAGGGTCTGCTCCTCTGCTTCCTGCTTCAGAATTCATGTTAGGCACCTCCGGTGTGACCAGAAAAATACAGAAGAAATGCAGCACAGATCAATAGAACCCTGGTTGCCAGGAGCTAGTCTAGGCTGAGGGCATTGGGTACTCCCTGGTTTCTGAGTTGAAATGTTGTTGGTGTGTTTTTGTGCCAGGCTTACAGGCTTATGTTGTCCCCAAGTGAGGCCAGCTTTGGATTGTGGTTGACAGATAATGAACAGTGGCCTTTGCAGGAACTCTGCTTTCTTGGAGGGGATGCTTTAATGTTGATTTCAGATTGGATGATTAGAAGCATATCACCATTTAGGGGAGACTTGATAACCAGGAGCATTTCCTGTAGATTTCAGCTTCTCTGTCTGTAAAATAGGATAGATGAGAAGAGGCCTTGCACTTGGTAGTCCTGGTGCATAGGCTGTCCTCCATAGGTTTTGTGGACAAGGACAGTCTTGCCTGCATTCTTTTTTTTTGTTTTGTTTTTTGTTGGTTTTTTTTTTTTTTTTTTTTTTTTGTTGTTGTTGTTGTTTTTAGACAGGGTTTCTCTGTGTAGGTCTGGGTGTCCTGGAACTTGCTCTATAGACCAGGCTGGCTTTGAATTCAGAGATCTACCTGCCTCTGCCTCCTGAGTACTGGGATTAAAAGTGCGCCACCACCGTCCAGCTTTTTTTTTTTTTTTTTTTTTTTAATGTGTGTATCATATGTGAAAGTCAGAGGACTTACAGAATTTGGTTCTCTCCTACCATGTGGATTCCAGGGATTGTCTGACTTGTCAGCCAAATGTCTTTATCTGTGGAGCCATCTCAGTGACAATTTATTGTGATAATGGCTGAGCCATCTCAGTGATACTTGTTATTTCCTTGTGATAATGGATTTCTGTGTATTCCATGCTGGCCATGAACTCATCTTGCTTCTGCCTCTCAAGTACTAGGATTATAGGCATGTACCACTATGTGGCCTACTTTCTCTCTTTACTACTTGTTTTACATAAATGTCAGTTTATCTTTGTCTTAGCTTATATAACTATGTAGTACAACAAATGAAAAATCTGTGTGAAGTTGAATTCTTTTTTTATGCATTTAAAAGGTGCGCAAGTCTTTTATAAAACAAGTCTTGCCAAGAGTTACCTGCAGACCCCACAATTTATCTCTGGTTGAATAAAATTTGTTGCCATGTGTGAGGCATAGTAGTTCATAAGCATTTAAGGAAGACTTATAAGTGGGGACAGCAATCAAAGGTAAGAGGCAGATGTTTCATCTCTAGCTGATGTTTTAACTTTCAGATGATGGCCCTTCATTACCAACCAAACAGAATGAGGAGTTTCGTCCCTTCATTCGAAGGCTTCCAGAATTCAAATTTTGGTGAGTTGAATATTTTTCTATTGAAAAATAATACATCTATATATACCTAATTTTTATAAGCACATAGAAATTGTCCATATATGGGGATATGGAATGACATTTTGGTACACATATATTGTGTAATGGTCAGGGTTAGAGGTATTTTGAAAGAAGGCCAGCATTGTTGCTCACTGCTTACCCTCTTGTCTACACGTAGAAGTCATTTCTCCTGACCAAATCATACCTTATTTCTTCAAGACTTTTGTGAAAGATACTTGGGCTGTTAAAATAGACCAGTTTTTGTCCCAGTTAGTTCTTGGTTTCTTAACAAAATGAAAATTTTGTTGTGCTTTGTTTGCATGTGGTGTGTATTAATCTGAAAGGTAATGGCAGTGTTGGGTATGGGGGTGGGTCACAGGGCTCTCTGGGGGAGACCACCACTTCACATTGCTTTCTCTTGGGTTGGCACAGTAATCTAGAGTTAGTAGATGAAGCTGGTTCCATAATGAAGGGTCTTAACAACTGTTTTCCAGGCCTTGTGCCTCCTGTAGGCACTGCTGTTGATTCAAGGCCATCTTGGGAAAGTTAGGCCTTCCAGAGCAGACACCCTGGAAGTGCTAGGAGACCAGGAAGAGAGTAAGTGTAGTGTAGCTCCTTTTATGACTGTCTTTGAAAAGGTCAAAGCTATGGCCTCCTGGCCTGTCTTTCAGACCATCTGCTCCTGGAGCACAAAAAGAGCCAAAGTCTTTGTTGGCTCAGTAAATTGAATGAGCAAACTGAGCTCTTCGAGTGTTTTCACCCGTGGAATCTGAGTGGGATGTGATCTGGAGAGGAAATTGAAGGTGGGCAAGGAACCCCCAAGGAACCTGGATGTTGTTGTGTAGGAAAGAAGAGATTGTGGGGATTTCAGGATTATAGAGCCTGACAAGAGGTGTGATGATGGTGGCAGGGCCGTGTGCTGGGGTGGGAGGGCACTGTGCTGTACGTCAGGCCTGGGTTAGTGCTCCAGATGGCAGTTCAGGTAGCAGGCGTGTGGTACATTTGGCTTTCACTGGGATGTCTTACACTTTGTTTAAGTTTAAGAAGTCTTGGCTTTTCAAAGGCTAAGAGGAGGACTTGTTTGTGGTTCAGTATGGTACACACAGACTGACTTGACACTAGTCTGATGTTTCTCTAGTGGGTGCCTCCGAGCAGGCAAAAGGCAGGGGTGGCTGTGGAGACCAGAGCAAGTTGACAGACGCCTGGTGCTCCTACAGATCATACTAACTTCTCCCTTTGCTTTAAGGCATGCAGCTACGAAAGGCATTCTTGTGGCTATGGTCTGTACCTTCTTCGAGGCTTTTAACGTCCCAGTGTTCTGGCCGATCCTGGTGATGTACTTCATCATGCTTTTCTGTATCACAATGAAGAGGCAAATAAAGGTAAAGATAGCAGCCCTGCTGTGCAAGATGACGGTTACCAGCCCGTGACTGCAGTATCCCTGGGAAAGCATGCTTAGGTCTTAGTGCTGGGCATTGCCTCCTGTGTGTGATTACTGATCTGTGCATAGCTTCTGGCCAAGGCCAACGAGTCCCAGACTACAGACCCTCTGTGAAAGAGAACAAGTGGGCCTTCCTGGAAGGTTGCTGGAAGCTGAGTAGGAAAGCCCTGGGTAGAGCCAGGTTGGGCTTGGGCCTGTAGTACCTCAGTGGCTCTTTCTAGCTCAGAGCTCCAGGTCCTGTGGTAGCCTGCTAGAGTGTTATGGCACATCCTCAGATTGGAGGTGTAGCTGAACCCTTAGCTCTTTGTAAATGGAGGGTCATGAAATATTTTCCAGATGTTGGGATTTCAGACAAGCCTCTAGTGGGTTAGAATTTCTGGAGCACATTGCTAGCCTCTTGACTTCAGATGTGACAGGCAGAAGCAATCGAGGGGGTGCCTTTGGCTATTCAGATCTAGGGGAAGGGCTGAGCAGGAAACTGTTTTGAAGTAACTCAAGTTTGTTTGTTTGTTTTCCCAGCACATGATTAAATACCGGTACATACCATTCACACACGGAAAGAGGAGATACAAAGGGAAGGAGGACGTGGGCAAGACATTTGCTAGTTAGAAGCTGGACTGAATCTGTCACACGTATTCAAGAACGGTTTTGAGCCATTGTAACAATGCCTTTTTCTTCACATAAAGTAGCTGATTATGAGGAAGTTGAATTTTCTTTTTAAGAGGAGCCTCAATGATTTGTATCTGAAATATCAGGTTCTTGAGGAAACTGGCATTTAAACCAAATTGCATTGATTTCTTTTTCAGTGATGTTCATGTGTTTGAAGTGGACAGATTTATAGTGAACCAGAGGCTTGGGAGGCCAGGTGGGTGGCAGCGAGCGGGAGGGAGGATGAGAGTGCAGCCCTGCCTTCCTGACCACGCTGAGGCCACTCCTCTGCGCCAGCCTGCTTCTTACCTGTGAAAACGAATGTAACACTTTGAGGGTGATTTTCACGTAGCTCTGTGGGGTTCTCATGCCAGTTTCTGAATCTCATCTCACTAGAGATGTTTTTCAAGTTGGCCTCTATCATAATGACTCAAAACTTTGTTCTTAACTACCATGATTGCTTTTGAGGGCCTGGAATTATAAATATATATTATATTTTAATTGTTTGAGATTATTTTGACACTTTCCTTTGATACGTAACATATTTTTCTTTTGATTAATTTAAACTTGTTCTCATGCAACAACCTCTAAGGAAACAGAACTAGCTAGAGCACACCAGGTTTGGGGGTTGTCACATGGCCTTTTACTTCTATGGGGAAAACAGAACCCCTCCGCATGTCAAACTTTTTGATGTGATAAAAATAATACTCTAAACATTTTACTAAGTGACTTTTAAATTCCAACTTTATTAAAGAAAGTGTCCCTTGCTTGTATAGTCTTCGTCTACACCACAGTCATTCCGCTGAAGCCCAGCTTGCTGTTGACAGCTGTAGGAGGGGAACCATTACACCAGGTGGAACCAGGAGAGCAAACACCTCAGGTGTAGGAGGGGTAGAGGCTGTCAAGTGCAAGCGGGCTTTTTCTCCAGGCTGTGACCCATTCAGGACCCTACTCAGTGGTGTTTCTCATCCATCCTACAGGGTTAGATACTGAGTAAGTCAGCCATCTGGGTTTTCTTTTACTGACACTATGATGCTCCTTTTAGAGCCATATTTTGTACATTCAACCCATCATTTTCCAACAATGTTCTAAGGGTTTTTTTTTTTGTTTTTTTTTTTACCATGTGAGCACTTGGGGTTCGAATCTGGACATTTTTGTTTATATTTTCCACGTTGTTTTCCTCATCACTGACTAGGCTCAAGGTACGATGGAAAGAAAGTTGGGTGTCCCTGGCCAGAGCAATGAGTTACAAACGGGGTACTGCGGACAACTGTAGAGTTGTGTTCCAGGGTCCCACAGGGTCCCTGAAGTTACCTTATGTCAGTCTTGGTCCCCTGCTCCACCTAGAGGGATGGTTCCTGCTCTTGGTAAGGGGACTTCACAAGGAACATTGTGACATCAAACACCACTGCTGGTGGCTGGGCTTTAGACCAAAGGTTCTATCAGGACACCGTCACACTGTTTTATGAAGTCTTTCTAGATCTTCTGGGTTTTTTTTTGTTTGTGTTTTTGTCTTTTCGAGACAGGGTTTCTCTGTGTAGCCCTGACTGTCCTGGAACTAGCTCTGTAGACCAGGCTGGCAGATCCGCCTGCCTCTGCCTCCCGAGTGCTGGGGTTAAAGGTGTGCACCACCAGGCCCAGCTAGATCTTCTGTTCTTAATGTACCTACTCTGTGGAATTAAGTCTCTTAAAAGATGTGCCAGGTTGTCTTTGACATTAATTAATTTTAAAAGCTTGGAAATGTCAAATGGAGGCAAGAAACAAGCTAGGGACAAGCCAAGAGGGAGCTGGACACAGAAGTGACATTGGGTAAGCAGGTCACACTTGTTCATCTAGGCCTCTAAGCAGATACGACTCACCTAACTTCCTCAGAGGACTGGCATCTGAGACACATGGAAATTGGTTTATTTCCAAGCCAACTCTGCCAGGTAGGTGAGATGTTCAACAAGTAAAGATGCTGCTGCCCAGCCCAACCTGAACTTATTCCCTGAAAAACACGATAAAAAGAACCAACTCCTGCACGTTCTCTGATCTCCGAGCATGTGCCGTGGCATGTGTTCATCTTCACTTCATATAATTGACAAGAATCTGCAACTCAGGGAGCCCCCGTTCCTACCCATTAGGCCAAGATGAAGACCTTCATTTTTCTTAAGGAGTTGGCAATATGAATTAATTAATTTCATGTGGCAAGTGTGTTAGGAGTGCTGACCTTGGTTGGTGTGGAGCCCACAGTGCAGTGCTTCTCTTCTACCCTAACCCTCACCCTGCCTCTTACACAGACCTGAGTTAACGCCCCCAACCCCCCAACTTCTGAAGCAGTTTTCAGCTATGTGGCTTGGGGAGGGAGGAGGAACCCATTACCTCCAGAAACTCAGAAGAAGCCATGATAAGGGGCAACAAACTCCTACCCCATATGGAGTATTGCCCATTTGCCCCTGACCCTTTCTCTTCCCAGGTAACTGTAGTAGTTTACATGACAACAGTGTGTGAGGATTTTATACTTCTGTGCAATCACAGTGCTGAGGATAAACGCTGTGAACTTCCATCCACTTCTTAGAGCCGTTTGGTGATGATCTAGTCCCATTCAGCGGTAGTGCCTCAGGTAGACCAGCTTCTGGGGCGGGAACTTCTCCCTGCACAGGGGACACTCGGTCTATGGGATGGGGTGTATGTGTCACAATGACTGTATACTGAGTCCAGCCCTGATCCCCATTGCATCTCTTCCTGTTCCACACACACGCACAGCTGTAAGTCAACCAGAAAACGGCCTCTCCCAAGGTCTGAGTCCTAGTGGGGCCAGGCATGGGACAGTGCTGACTGAGCATAGCTGTGCCCACCCACCCTCACCTATGAACCTTGGATTTCTGGGGCCTCTCCTGGGCTATTCCTTCTGACTGAGCCTCTACATGTCTTCCCAGCAACCCTGGGCCAAGAGCTGTAGAGGGGAGGGCTTCAGACCCCACCAGTGAAAGACATCAGACTGTGTGCTATTCTACGCTATTCTAGCCTCTCCCTTGTAGAACTTCCACCAGGCCCAACTCTAGATGCACCTGGTGTTTGCTCTCAAGAGACAGGACTTGTTCTGCCATCTGTATGAGAAAGGAGGGCACACATTCCACACTTACACATGCTGGCACTTGGGGAATGCCCACTATGCAGACTGCTGACTTAGCAGTGTGAATGCTTGTATTTTCTGTACTGCAGCCCAGGACGCCCACCTCTTAGCAGCAGGGCTGCAGCCACATAAAGTTCCTTCTCACTTGTAGCCTTGGCTTTTGGCCAAGGCTACAGCTCACTGGCCAGACATGCCAACCAGGGCCCTGCTGCTTATAGGAAGCAGTGTGCTTTGGGCATCTGCCCTGCCGGAAATGGTTCAGTGGCACACAGGGACAATTTGGTGTGTGCACATGTCCCAGCATCCTAAGTGTGCTGAGCATACCAGGAAGCAAGACAAGTCTGTGGTTAAGTGTAGCCTGATCTGTGCACCTATCTTCTGTCATTCACCTGCATATTCAGTCACACCTCAAAAGGGGAAGTTTCCCTTCTGACTGGGGACTTCATCCCCAAGTTGAGAGGTGTGAGAGGTGGGGTAGCTTCACAGTCAAGGGTTGAAGGCCTGGGAGCAAACATACCTTAGTGTTGCACCACTCAGTGATGCACTCCCAGCAGAAGAGGTGGCCACAAGGTGTAGCTGTGGAGTGTCTTCGTTCCTCCAAGCACAGGGTGCATAATGGGGTTCTGCAAACAGCTCTGTCTTCCAGGGAACTCCTGTGGGGGTCAAGACATATCTCAGGTGAGTGCACCTTTCACAATCTCAGGACATGCCAAAGCAGCTGAAGCCCCCTGCACACCTGCGGTGGGACAGGTTGCGGTGCAGCCTCCACTCCTTCCTAGCTCGCTGCTTCTGCCTGAAGCTGTACAACTGCAGCCCAATGGACAGTGCCAGATGCAGCAGGGAGATGAGTCCCAGCAGTCGGTAGCTTGTACGAGCCCTCAGGTCCTCTCCAGGCAGGCGGCGAGTCCGGAGCTGCAAAGACAGGTGACCACCACCCCCAAACCCGTCAGGATCCCCCAGGATCTGGTCTCTTGTCTGCTGGAGGTTTTGTGTTCAGCCAGTCCTCACCTTGGCACTGGGAGTGTCCAGAGAACAAGAACCAACCAGGGAGGTGGGTTTAAGTATCAGGAGTGAGGGAGAACCCTAGCTGTCGGCTGACCTTGAGGCATTAGACGAGAACTGAGCCAGGAGGCTAGATGGGTCAGGAAAATGGGTGAGGATTCTGGAGCTGTTTGGGAACCAGTTCAGAGGAAGAAGAGGAGCCTGAGGAAGAGCGGGATGGGGAAGATCAAGGGGAACCTGGACAGGGAGATGCTGCCCCTTTACTGAGTCCTCTATGACACTTTAGCCCCCAAGGATACTGCCCTCGCATCTGCTGTAGCTAGTGATGTAACTTCCATCCACATCACAACAGAATTGTGCTGTCTTCCACTTCCTATCCCTTCTTACTGGCAAGACACCAGGACACATTATGTCTTGGGCTGGAGCAGGAAAACAGGATAACAGGCCCTACAAGTGAATCCAGTATTCAGTAGCCATTAGGGAGGGAGGCACAGCTGCTCAACTAAATGACTGCTGGGAAGATTTTGCTGGATAACCCCTTATCTAGCAGTACTGAGTGAGGTTAAACCTGAGACCAGACTATGGTTCTATGATGAGGGTGTGTGGGAGGGATAGTTTAACTGGAGGGAGAGATGGCATGTGGTCCCCTCTGACAGGAACTTCGAGCAGCTCTGGTGGGTGGTGGGCAAGGGGGGTGTTTTGGGTAAAAGGATGCAAGGGTATTGGTAGAAAGCCAGAGTGTAAAGAGGCGGGAGGCTGCCCAAGGCAGCAACAGGGTTAGTGCAGACCAAGGTCTGGCCAGTGGTGTGATGAGGTGATGTGCTTACTGTGGGAGTATATCTTAACCCACGCCCGAAGACCATGCCTTTCTGGTAGGGCTGCTGGATGGTGAACAGGGGCTTCTGTAGGCAGAGATGAATGGGAAAGGCCAGGCTCTGGGCTAGAACCTGCACTTGATACCTGGAATAGGTGCTCATCCCCCTGAGCAGTGAAATGGACACAGTCACAGGCCAATAGTGAGAAAACTACTGTGGGGCTAGACCTAAGTCCACTCAGTCAGCGCCTGGCTCTGCTGCCACACATGTGCTGGTGAAAGACTTCCTTCCACCTTCAGTTTATGGAAACTGGACTTCCTGGGCTTTGTAGGAAAATATAACTGATTAAACTGTTGTTTCCCAAGTGCAGGGTTTCACTTCCAACTTGGAAACAACACTTGACTGTGATCATGCCATCAGCATGGGCCCCAAGGAGGCTGCTCAGAGGACCCGTCCATATTCAGTCCCCCTTGGCATTGCTACTTACATAGCTGATCCCTGCTAGTCTCTTGGCCAGGTGATAGAAGGCACCGTAGATATAAAACCAAGCAACATGGAACCGATGGAGGCAGGCAAGACCCTGCCTAAGAATAAAGACTGCCCGCTGGAGTGTCCTCCTTTGCTGTTCTGTCAGGGTGGCTGCATGGTGACGCACCCAGCGCCTTGCCCCTGACCGGCTGCGTCCTCCAGACAGCAGACTTCCCTGTGAAGCCCGTGTACTGTCACCATCAGTTTGCAGCTCCTGCTCCAGGGGCAGCAGCGCCTTGTCCAACAGGTAGGGCAAGACAGCATGCAGTACAACCAGCACCCCACGGCGGAGCCTGGAGGGCACTCGCTGCTGGGATGGGTCCACCTGGATGATCCCAACATACTCCTCTCCAAGTGTCTGGTAGCCTGAGGATTAATGCACAATGATAAGGATCCCACACAGGGACAAACTTCTAGGCCAGCTTGTCCCCCCCCCCCCCCCCAGCATCATCAGTCACCCTGGAACCTGCCCTTCCAGGCTGTTAAATCCAATGTGGTCTTGCTGTGATTTCATGATGTGACAGACTGCAGCTCTGGGCTAGGCCCTTGCTTCCCATCAGTTCCTGCTCTCTCTTTTTTTTTTGGCGGGGGAGGGGGGGGGGTTGAGACAGGGTTTCTCTGTGTAGCTTTTGGAGCCTTTCCAGGAACTCACTCTATCCCAGACTGGCCTTGAACTCACAGAGATCCACCTGCCTCTGCTTCCTGAGTCCTGGGATTAAAGGCGTACGACACCACTGCCTGGCTTCCTGCTCTCTTCAGTCTTTATTTGTTCCCAGTTTCCCAGTCCCTCTTCTGCCTAACTGGTATCCCTTGTCCAAGTGATGGGATCCAATCTCGTGGTTTCCTACCTTCCAGATTATGGCTCAGTCTGGATCTGGTTCAGTCCTGAGATGTAAGCCCAGCTGCTTACCTGACAGTATCACATGGAGTTAGATAAAACACCTTGAAGCCTACCCCTGCCAAAAGCTAGCTTCTAGTTGTCCAACCTGGGAAAGTCCTGTTTTCTTACACCCTGCAGAAGGTAAAGCCAGGCCTCTTACTCCTGAGGCCAGACCTGTGTTGTACCTTGAACTACTCTTCCATGAGTCTCACTGTGATCCTGTTGTAGCAACCTCTGCCCTCACGTGTCTGGTCATGGCCTGCAGTTAGCCTCTTCCTTTGTATCTTGCAGTGCCTCATGGCTCATAAAAAGGGAAGGCCATTCTCCTGAGAGAGGCCTCTTCAGTGACTGGCTAATTGCTTTGGTTGACTAGAAGATTATTTTCCCCCAGACTTGGTGTTTTGCCCTGAAGAGCTCAACACTTATCAGGATGCGTTACAGTGTCGTTCCTTGGTGCCTGCTGTGTCTGCCACCGCTGAGTGTAGTCCTTGGGGGCAGGTTACCCACAGTGACCTCTCCAGGCATCTCACAGGCACTCTGCATTCCTTGCTGGATGTTGAGCTGGCACTGGTGACCTGCGGCCCTTACACAGCTTTTCCTTCTAAAGGACTATCAGCTTTTGTGTGTCCACCTCACAAGGGTTTAATGGCCAGTATGTGATGGGTCAGTACTGACTTGCCTTTTGCCACTGAGAAGTGGGTCCTGGGGCTGGGGATTTAGCTCAGTGGTACAGCTTGCCTTGTCTAGCAAGCGGAAGGCCCTGGGTTGGGTCTTCAGCTTGGGGGTGGGGGTCCCAATAACACCCTTGGAAAAGTCCTGGGTGAAGGTCCTCAGGGACATACAAATGCAAGGAGAGCCCCTGGCTGAGGGCCGTGCCTCCCGAGTGGCGTTCTTCCCCGGGGCTGCATGCAGGTGGATTCTAGGAGCTGCTCAGGGGTTGTGTGGGTTGTCCCGCCCCCCCGCCCCGTGCCAAGGACCTGCCAAGGATTGCTACCTGCAATTGTGGTGAGGCCAAAGTAGGCGATGTCTGAGAGCAGCTCAATCTCTTTCCTCCACTCCAGCCATTTCTTCGCACCTAGAAGAGAAAAACATCACCTCTGGGCAGGTGAGGTGGGGTCACCGAGATTCTCTCCCCCACCCGGGTGGAGGTGGTTAAAGTCCAGGTCAAATCCCTCCTCTTCTAGGGCGACCTTCAACTAGAGGCTCCTCTGCTTCCCTGCCCTGTCCCCTCTCCCCACATGGTTGACAGGAATGACTCCGAGGGAAGGCCACTTCCTAAGAACCTCTCAGCTGTGACTGTCTTGAGTCAGGAACTGTCCTAGGAAAGTCTAGGTAGTGCTAACAACACCTGTTTAGTATCAAATCTCGGCTCTCTCAAATCCCTGCCTGTGAGATCTTTTTGGAAACCTCCACGTGCCTCCCTGTAAGTGTAATACTGTTAGGTCCAACCTACAGGGGCGTATGAGAAGTGAATGGGCAAATGTTTGAGAACACTGAGCAGGCACTGCCTGGCGCAGAGACCTGCAAAGTGTTCTGCAGTGTGTAAATCTGTTTTGATCCTCGCTTTCCTAAGGAGCTTCGGAGCTGCTGCCTGTCGGGGTGCCCAGGGCCCTCACCCGCTAGGCTGTGCAGCGCGCCACCCGCCGCGCTCCGCAGGCCTCCCAGGTAGTAATCGTCCTTCTGCGCTGCCCGGATCACCTCAGGTGCACCTGCCAGCGACATGGCCCGAGTCAGTGAGGTCGCACCGCGCCGGCGTGCGCTATGGGCGGGGCCTGTGACGCTCGACGTGCCTCGGTCGTGCGGCGCAGGCAGTGAACATCACGCGGACGAAGGCGGGGCCTAGGCACGGTATCCTGAGAGGCGGGCAATCCACGGGAGAGGCGGGCATTTAAGGGCGGAGCTATTGGAGGCAGGGATGGGGGCGGGGCCACGCAGGAGGGGTGGGGTCGGTGCTGTCGGTGGAGCCACGCAGAGAAGCGGGGGTGGGTTCCGTGCTTCGAGGGCTGAGTCACGTAGTGGAGTAGCGAATATTGAGAGGGATGTTGTTGATTCGTGGCGGGCAGGACCCTGAGAGACCTCAGCCTCGCAGATGTGTTTTTGGTTCAGGTCTCTGGGACTGTAGGAGTGGACTCTTTTAGGATAGTCATGTGATCTCATCTGACTACTGAAGTCCCCAGTTCTGTTTTGGAGTTCCTCCGGCTGCCCCTGCCCTGGTTTCTTTGGCTTGGCTTGGACAGCCCCAAATAGTACCTTTGACCACTGCCAGGAGGCAGTCACGTCTCAGGCAGAGGCACAAGCTTCTCGCCAAATCAAATATAACGGTTTGAAATGCTGGTTCCTTGAAGGCCCAAGGCTGCTGTGTCCCTAGGAAACTTTTTTCTCTTCAAACTCAGAAGCTCGGTTTTAACATAACTGTGAGGTATGGCCTGCTCCTTTTATGGGACTGCATTTTCTGGATTCTCCTCTTATCCATGGGGAGCAAGACCAGACACATTATCCCAGGTTTCTGTTCCCAGGGAGACGCTTAAGTGTCTCTCTCCATGGGCTCAAATCCTAGCCACATACTCGGTCTCAGCTGTTGACCGGTGTTTTGACCCCTAGGCCCCTCCTTTGTGGGCTGTGGATATAAGGCACTCCTAGCTGCCTCCTCTCAGGGGTTCTTCTTAAAGGGCAAGGCCGGCAGGTGGCGCCATCAGCCCATTTGTTTTACTAGCTTGGGCAGCTAGGGACTAGTACCCCAAAGATATCCTGCAGACTGGGAAACAAGAGGCCTTTTAGCAAGGAGAGAAAGTGGGTGGATGAGTAGTGACATCACTGTGAATCAGTTCTCTGGCCTGGAGTCCCTCTTTGCTTTTCAGCATTCTAGGGTTCCAGGACTCTGAGGTGGTGGTCAGGTGAGAGTTCTTGCTGGGGACAGGGCATGTGCCCCTGTCACCTTCCTTTTTATCACTCTCTGTCTGAAGCACAGCGGTCCTGGGCCTGAGCCTTGTGACTAACTCCTTGTAAACTTTCCCTTCTGCTGCAGGGATGGAGGACAAGAAGGCCAGGGTCCTGAGGACTTGAGGGAAGACACCAGAGATGTGACTGACAGGTCTAGTCCTGGCCTTGACTCTCCCATATCCACCTCCTGGGCCCCTTGAGGGCCACCCTAGTCTGTGAGCCGAGTGTCATTCCCTGTTATCAACTGCAGTGGGGTGTAGCAGGAATCTTAAAAGTTCTTATTAATAAGGGGAGAGAACAAGGGAATCCGTGGCTGATATGTAGAACTAAATTATATTGTAAAATAAAATAAAATTTAAAAAAAGTTCTTATTAATAAAAACAAACCCGGAGCCAGGTATTGGGGTAAACGCTGGAAGATCAGAGAAGCAGAACAAGCCACGGCCACCTCACCTCGCCAGTTCCTCAGCTGATCCTGTTTCCTCAGACTGGAAGCCTCTGTGTCCTCATCCAGAATGAATCTCAGCTGAACTGCTTCTTGAAAGCCTGAAAGCTTAACCAGCTAAAAGCTTCTAGTTCCTGGTCCTCACGCCTTATATGCCTTTCTGCTTTCTGCCATCACTTCCTGGGATTAAAGGCGTGTGTCACCATGCCTGGCTGTTTCCAGTGTGGCCTTGAACTCACAGAGATCTGGATGGATATCTGCCTCTGGAGTGCTAGGATTAAAGGTGTGAGTGCCACCATTTTCTGATCTCTATATCTAGTGGCTGTTCTGTTCTCTGACCCCAGATAAGTTTATTAGGGTGCACAATATTTTGGGGAACACTATCACCACAGTGGGGTTCATTGGGGACACTGCACTGGAGCATCTCTGGGCTGGCCTTTGACTGCCCCCCTTGGGGCCCTCACTAGCCCTGTGCCATTGACAAGGGACAAGGTATGTCCTGCACATTTCTTTACTTAGTGGGCCTCAGCTTTTTGGTCTGTAGATCAGGAATAATGATGGTGATTAGCTGGTGTTTATTGAGCGACCGCCATGCTAGTGCTGGGCACATGGATTGTTTGGGTCCACATAGAGATGCAGGTGGGTAGTGGATCTGGAACAGGATGAAATTCTGCATTTCTGACACAGGAGCTTCTGGAGCAAAGGTCAGCCATCATAGGCAGTGTTCACAGTTTTGCCCCTCAACAATGGCTTCTATATTCTTCATACACTGAGTATTTCATTGTCCTACCTGATGTTCTTTGCCAGGAATGCTAGCTCTGGCCACACTGTTTTCTAATTTTATTAAATAATTAAACTTATTGTGTGTGTTGTATGCATATGTGTGTATGCATGTTTGCATATGTGTGGGTATATGTGGTGTGTGTGTGTGGTGGTGTGTGTGTGTGTGTGTGTGTGGTGTGTGTGTCTGTGGTGGTGTGTATGTGGTGGTGGTGGTGGTGTGTGTGTGGTG